GCCGCTGGGCGCCGGGTCCTCTGCGCGCCTGTGGAGCCGGGAGCGCGTCGGTTCAGCCGAAGTGCAACTCGCTGGTAAAGATTCGTGCTTTCCCGTCGGCTCCTTGCAGACACCCTTCGGGCTCCTCAGGGTGTTCAGCGTTGTGATCCCGTTCCTGTACGTCGGGACGCAGATCAGCAAGAACTTCGCAGCCCTACTGGAAGAACATGATATCTTTGTCCCAGAGGATGACGACGACGATGATTAAATGGTATGTCATGAACGTCACCAGCAATCTCATTGTTTGTGCTTCCCATTCGGCTTGGGGCAGGGAGGAGAATCTCAGACTAGGAGATGGAGATAGCTTGTCAGATGCGTTTGCAGTTAAACACACAGGCACAGCGTTGTCTCTGTTCTTCTGTACTGGAGTAGACCGGACTGGTGTCCAAATGTGCAACCTCCACAACATACATTCATTAGCGATCGGAATAAACTGATGGTGGTTTAGGTCTTGTCACTTGAAGCAGAAATCAACTGTAGTCCGTGAGGGTCTATACTGCAAACAGAAAAGAGGGACTTCAGTGTTACTACATTATGTGTCCAGAGAAGGGCAGCGAAGCTGATGAGGGGTCTAGAGCGCAAGTCTTATGAGAAGTGGTTGAGGGAACTGAGGTTGTTTAGTCTGGAGAAGAGGAGGCTGAGGGGAGACCTTATCGCTTTCTACAGCTACTTGAGAGGAGGTTGTAGTGAGGGGGGGTGTCAGTCTCTTCTCCCAAGTAAGAAGCGATAGGACGAGAGGAAATTGGCTCAAGTTGTGCCAAGAGATTTAGTTTGGACATAGGAAGAATTTCTTCACCGAAAGTGTTGTTAAGTGTTGGAGCAGGCTGCCCAGGGAAGTGGTTGGAGTCACCATCCCTGGAGGTATTTAAAAGACGTGTAGATGTGGTGCTTAGGGACATGGTTTAGTGGTGGACTTGGCAGTGCTGGGTTTGTGGTGGGAGTCGATGATCTTAAAGGTCTTTTCCAACCTAATGATTCTGTGATTCTGTTCCACATGTTTACCTGTTTAAAGTCTTCTGCTAACTTGCAGAATGACTGTTTTGAGAGAAACACTTATGATATAGAGATGAAAGATTTAAGAGAATTCCAGAACCCATCAGAAAAAACAGTCTGGTGGGTGTTACCCACTGATCTCGGGAGTAGTTAAGACCGTTCAGACTCACTGGATAAAGGAAGAGCAGAAATAATTCACCTTTATCTGCAGTACACTACACTGCACTTTCCACCATTTCATGTTACTCCATTTGGCTTGCCCTTGTGTAAAGATTTGAGTTTGTGTGTATTTGATTCTTTATAGAACAATGAAGCTATTTTAAAGAAGTCGTCATAAATAGTGTTGCTTTGCAGTCGGTTTGACGGATGTATTCCATTTGATACAGCTATTTTCCAGCATGCACTGTGCAGCTAAAACCCAAGAATTAGATTGTACAGACTGTGTAGCCTGCTAGAAACTCCTATGTAAACCCCCGCCTTGTATGGTTTGGAGGGAGGGTACAGACTGGAGCTCAGTGCAGTGCATCTGAAGAGTTACAGCTTATTGTTCTATTTGCAGAACTGTAACAGAAGAACAGAAGGATGAAAACCATTGACAAAGCAGTGGTTCCAACATCTGTCACCTGTGTTTTGTCCTTCCTAACCGGGACAGGGGACTTTGTATCCCCTTTGCCAGCGAGTGTCCTGTGCATGTCTGATGGAAATCTATAGAGCAGGGCTGAAGTGCTTGACATGCCCTGCATCCTTGCACACACACACACACGCTCACCTCATCAGAGACTGCTTGGGATTCCTTTTATTAGCAATATGGGAAGCACTTAATTAAAGAGATTGAGAAGTATGACTTTGGTCTTGTGTTTTTATAGATTATGTGCCTATGTCCTAGCATTTCTGTCTTAATCTTTCTGCCTCCGTACGTCTGTTCCTGTGAGGAGGCCATATTTATTTCCTCATATAAGTCCTTTTTCTGTAATTTGGTACTAATCTATGGCACATGACAGGAATCCTAGAGGAAGCAGCAGCCCCATTAAAAGACTGGGGTGCATATTGACACTGCAGTTCAAGTAATGCTGATTTACAACCTAGCAGGTACATCTGATGGAGACTATATCATTAATTTCACCTCTCTGAGGATTAAATACAGTATTATCATCGCAGAGGTAAGAGTTTTGAGTATCTTGGTAAAAGGTTAAGATCACGAGTGGCAAACTAACTTGCTGATGCGTTTTATAGCATTTAATTTCTGAACAGTGAAAATGTCCAAGTACCTAGTATTTCCTAGGTAGTTCAGTACTTCCTTCTCTACAAGCCCCAATACATTTATTTTCTTAACTGTGTATATACACTTCAACTCTTCTTTTCACAGACATTTACTATCGCAATTAAATCTTTGCATAAAAGACTTAAAAGGTCTTCCCTACTGCTAGGGCATGCAAAGAGTATGTATCTTCAGTCATGTCAGACTAGCTGTTTTCTCAAATACCTTGAAAAGTTAGTCAAATCTTCTTTTTTCTAGCCAGCATTGCCCCATGTCTCTCCCATGGTTTCTGGTCACTACATCTGGCCTCTTCTCTTGACTGGCCACTTTTGCCTTCAGTATTCACGTAGCTGTTAAAAAGTTTCTTTTAATGTTGCACACATTAGCAGGGTGTATAGTTCAAAGAGCCACGTTTGCTCCCTGATTATTTGGCGGTGCTTTTGGTGTTTGCTCTGGAACTCTCCAGCATAGCTACTGAGTAAAAAGGGAGCCTGCAACCCAAGTAACCCCAAGGGCTGTAGCTGGATGCAGCTGGCAGGTTCTTGAGTCTCTTGGTATTAGAGTTGTCCCCTCCTTCCCCAAAGCTGCCCGAGAGGTGGTTGCTCCAGTTCATCTGCTCTTAGGAGCCAAATATGTCCCTGTTCCTGTTTCCTATACTGCCAAGTTCCTTATCACTGCTTTATCCCACCATCCCTTGGCCTGGCCCGGCCCTTCCTGACTGCGTCAACCGTGACCTTAAAAACACCCCCCACCCCCGAAGCCCCTAGGTACACATATATACACATCCCTGAAGAGTGCTGCTTTATAGCCCTCAGACGAGGAGAAAAGCCCCAGTATTTAGGCAAGGATAAAAAGAAGTTTGAGCACACTACAAAGATTCAACACTGATCACACGTGGGGGAGCTCCAGCACCGAGTTACCTGCTGAAAACCCTTTCTGACTGGTGAAAAAACAACTTCTCCTTACCCTTCTCAAAAGGGAGCTAGTAATTCCAATTCAATTAAGGAGGTGATGGTAGGACACCATCTTCTACTAGGCATCAGACGCTCTTACAGAGCCTTCCTATTACAGACAACAGTACAAACCCCTATTTTTCCAGGCAATTTCACTTTACAGTAGCAAAATGGACTCTGCTGATCTTTTTATTGCACAAAGGGCTTTATTTGCCTATTGGATTTTACGCCAGTCTCTGTGAGGAAGTAAAGAGAGATTAGTGCCCAAGTAAAAAAACACCAGGTCAACAAAGTCATAGCATGAAATTGCAAAACACTGCATGAATACAGATGGGCCTCAAGCACAAGAATGTTTCTGCGACTGCGCTGCCTTTCCTGAAGGCCCGCTCTTTCTTCCACAGAGCCAACATGGGGCATGGGGCTGCAGGCTGAGCAGAAAGCCCCACAGCCACATTGTGTTGTGGTTATTCAGCAGATGCTCCAGAGCAAGTAACAGGACAAACTCCATCCACTGAAAATACACATTGGCAAAACTAGGAAATCACAGCGCTTCATACAGCTCATAATGACTTGCACACACACTGGATTCAGAGTTAGTCATTAGGCCCCTAATACACTACACAATCTTTCTGTACAGACTTTTTTTCTACTATATAGAACTTTATTTGTAATACAAGGCAGGAAGACATAGAGTCAATCTCTCAGGGATCGTGGCCTGCATAGAATTTGGACAGAAAGTCTTTAGGTCGTGGGGTTTCCGTCTCATGGAAATACCTCATGATGTGAGTCCTCTGCTTCCATACCTGAATGGTTTCTTGAAGATCCATTTTTCCCTGTGCACAAACAAAAGAGTATTAGACTAGTTCTCAGTTAGAGCCTGAGTCTAACTATAAAGAATTATGAAAGTTACTTGAGTGCACTTAGAAACACCCTTAAAATAGCTGTATCAACAATTCTGTACTCCTAGAACTGCCTGCATCACCTGTACCGTGACACAAATATATATACTGTTCCTGCCTTGTGACTTTACTGCTTCATGTCCTATATTAACAAGTCACTTGGCTCCACAGCATAGCTTCCCAGCCCTGTGGAACATGCAAAGGACCCTGCCCCCTTCTTAGAACCTGCCTTGTTTCTCTCATGACCAGCATCACCATAAAATTCTACACAACATTCCTAACTTTCATGCACCTCTCTAATTTTTTTTGAATAGTGGCAAGTTAGCTGTAAAACTCAGTAAAACTGCTGCTAAGTGCTTTGCACCAGTCTTGCTACCACAGAGATATTAAACATCTTCATGACTCCAGTCTATGAATTATTGTACTGGTTTCAGAGGACAGCAGCATGGGGCAAAATGAGGCTGCCTGGAATTGTCACCTACCTTATTATCTAGGACTCTGTTTCCAGACTTTTTTTCAGGACGTGCAGAACAGACTAACTCTCTTGAAATGCAAGAAATGCAGCAGGTGAGCACAGCAGTCCTTGGTTGGAAGCTTTCTAATGCATTAGGACTGCGGAGGTCAGCTGATGTTGCTCAGGCCCATATTGAAGCCTTCCCCTACTCCTGCTGTTGCTTTGAACCAGACAGGTCTCTTGGTCCCGAGACATAACCAGAGGTGTTACAGAGCTGGGGTGTTTTGCCACCAAAAGCCAGCCTCCCACCAAGTACTGCCACTCTAATGTGTATGTTTTAGAACTGGTGAAGAAAACCACACCCCAACCTAAGGAAGTACCACAGGAAGTAGACAGGCAATTTTTAATGGTAAACTAGCCAGCAGCATCTTTTTCCCCTTTCTTTGATGGTCAGTTTTCTAAAAACAAAAAAAAACAAACAAAAAAAAAACACCAAAAAAACCCAAGCAAAAAACCACAAACCAAAACCCAACCCCCATCAAACTTGGTATTTAAATGACCGTTTTGTGTGCCATACACTTCCTGTTTAAACATCTGCAAACTAGAAGAGCCAGTACACAGACTGACAGAAATCCGTACCGTAGCAACTCTGACTTCGGTGAGTTAGGGCCCTATTCCTCTGCATGCTAAAGCAGCTTGATCCCTTATCAGCAGGTTTGTTGACAGAGATAAACCAAGCTGGATTGCAAGAGACAGCTCCTCCATAGCTCAAACCTGTCCCTCTCCTCCACCACACTCACCACCAATTATCCACTCTCACATTCTCTGCAGCTTCAACAAAACAAGAATAACTTGTTTGTACCTTAATAACCAGCATGTCTATCGCACGTGGGTCTGTAACATGGGCATTCTTCATGAACATCTCCCGCACTTTGGTACGCCCCTGTTTCACCGTGATGTCCAGCTGGTATAGGTGTACTACAAAAAACAGAACACCCACAGCTGTCACCTATATTGCCTTTCATTTTTTTCTACTGTATAACGTGCAACTCAACCCTACAAAACACCACACAGTCACTTGTTCTTGCAACGTCTGCCAGCTTCACTAATACAATCTATTTAAAGCGAATAAACAATGCGGCCATAGTATGAGTCCCAGTGCAGTTTTAAGGAGACAGGCAATCAGGGCACAACCCCCCCGTTCTCTAAAATTAAAGCTAGATTTTTCTTTTGCTTAGCTAGGAAAACCAAGTGGCAAATAAGGCATAAGGAGACCGGGCTTCCCCATCCAGACCTCCCTCAGCCTCCGTCAGGGGAGGCAGCCGGGCCGGGGAGGGCAGG